ATTTTTCAGCAACTTCTATATGTTCCAGTTACCCTTTAACCCCTGATCAGGGCAGAAGCTACAGTGCCCCGTGGGCTATGAAACACGAGTTTCACCCCCTGGAAAGAAAAGTAACTGTTCGAGTCCCACGAATAGATTTTGCAATTTACTTGTCCTTTTTTATAAAATCTTCAAAACTCCACTGAGACTTCGTCCGATGCTTGCAGAATGCTGTAAATGAGGCTTTCAGTTGTCGATGAGAGGCTTTCAAAATGAACTGAGATAAAGCCAGATTAGCTGCCGGATTGCGATAGCAAGTGTGAAACTGTGGCTGAAGTCTGATCAAGGACAATAGGGACGGCAACTTTAAACTATTGTTTAAAGTTTAAACGCACTCACCCGGAAGAACGCTATGTGAGGTTTTACAATGTGAAAGCGAATTAAATTCAAAGAAAAATTAAATTATTCGTTCCTCTTTGTAAAACTTTTTTCCTATTTCGTACATGTTGGAGGGTTTTTCAAACTTGTCCCGGTGGGTCATGAACCCTAAATTTCTCCCGTGGCAACGAAAATAAATGACCCCGTATTTGAGGCCCACGAACAGAAGAATCGTGCGATTTCTGTTTTGTTTCAATTTCTAAATCTCTACGTGAATTTATCCGAATTTATTTTCAGAATGCAGGATATGGGACTTCCTATTGTCGGTGATTGGTTAATTTGAAATCACAGTTTACCAATTTCGAATAGCCCGCCGATTTCACCCTGAGAGTAAATAAATGAAGACGAAAAACACCATTCGTCTTCAACTAAAATTACATTTTATACATTACTGAATTTTCTTTTAAACCTAGCTTGCAGTCAAGCACGGACAGGACGCAGGATTTTTTTTTTGATCTGTCTGTAACGGGCAGGAGGAAAGCGTTGGATTTAATACAGCCCAAACAAACTTATCAACCGAATGTGAAACCACTGTTAATCTAAAAAACCCGCCGATTTAAACATCTTAAAAGCTAATTACAGTGTCCACCGATAAAAAGACAGAAGAACATTTTATCGCTACATTTTTATTTCACCCAGATTATAGTTAGCCCGAACACAATTTGTAATTGCTGCCGGAGCTATCTGTAACAGGCAGGTGGAAAGAACACGCCACTAAAACATCAGTACGGCTGCTAGAATCAAAACTGAACAAAGTATCCTCCCTGGAAGGTTCACTGAAATACCGCAATATGTAGCATTCGCGTCTGGATCCCAAAATTTATGAAAAAATACATGGCATAGACAGCCAACTACACATACTGCGAGTATTACCGAGATAGAAGGAGGATCAAAGGTTAAGGCGATAAGGTTCAATACGGTTAAGAAAAATACCAACCATGATCGAATGACAGAGCCGACTGGATAGGCAGAACAGCCGAATGTTGCTTCTGTATCTTGGCTGCAATGTGACACAACTAGTATAATGTCGAGTGGCCGAAAAACCTGTGCATTGTAAGGATAGTTTTGACTGGAAAAATTTCTCCCGTAACGCAGGATCTAAAGTGTACATTTTTGAAAAGGATTGAGCCAAATTAAAAGTCGTTAAAGATGCGAAATAACCAGCTGAAGTACAGTATTCTCGGCCTATGCACTGATTTGCCCGTCCTCGGGTCTCCGCTCTCAATCGGAAACTTTGGGTGGCTCTGAAAAGAGCCTTTGGGTTCGCTGGAGAAGGGTCGATTTGCTCAGCCGCCGAATCCATGGAGAGTGCGGCCCTGGCGTTTCAGAGCGTACACCACATCCATGGCAGTGACCGTCTTGCGCTTGGCGTGCTCAGTGCAGGTGACCGCATTCTCCAGGAAAACCTTCAGCACCCCACGGGTCTCCTCGTCGATCAAGCCCGAGATGCGCTTGACCCCGCCACGGCGAGCCAGGCGCCGGATGGCTGGTTTCGTGATGCCCTGGATGTTATCACGGAGCACTTTGCGGTGCCGCTTCGCTCCGCCCTTTCCCAGGCCTTTGCCTCCTTTGCCTCTTCCAGACATCACACTTCTTCAAACCAATCGCGCCGAATGAGAGCCGAGCTGCCTTACCTTCTTTTTTTTAATACAGCCCGCCCCGACCTGACTGAGAAAGAGCTGACAGAGTGTGAGAGGCGGCCCCGAGAGGAAACTGAGTGACAGACAGAGAAATGTCCAGCTCCACCTCCAGCTAACTCCGGTCCGAAATGGATCTGTAATTAAACCTTTTCTCCACAAGGGCAGTGAACATAATGCCCTGCAGACTCAAGCTTCACGTTCAAAGATAGTAAAAACTGGATATTTTAAAAGCAATTGTATTACAATTAAACGCCCATGTACCGGCTTTCTTTAACAAGAAAACACGGCCGCTTCCATTTCAATGTCAGATTCTGTTCCTCCAGCTGAGTCAGACTGAGGCATTTCTTGGGATTGTGTTGTGAAGCGGTGTTTCTGTGCCAGTGTTACTCTCTTAAAGACTCTCACCTTTAACATGTGAAAAGGAACCGGAGATGAACAGGGACTGCGCCTGAACCGATGCTCAGTGACAGTTAGAGGGGGACATCACTCTGATTTATTGTTGAATGTGGGAGAGGGGCTGGGTGTAAATCACGGCACGGACGTTCAAATCAATTTATTCAAGTTATTCAAAGTTATTCAAATCAATTAATATCTGAAGTATGTCTAAACTTGACGCCGGGACAGGGATCATTTAATCCGGACTCAGCTCTTTCCTGAGAGATGTGGGTGACTCTGAGGAGAGCCTTTGGATTCAGATGGTTAGATGTTGCACCGACTGGTTCATTTCTTTGTTGCTTTCTTGGTCACTTTCACTTTGGGCTTGGCCTTCGCATTAGTGAGCATGGCCAGTGATTTCAATTGTATTTGCTTCTCCTGCCCTGACAGAGAACAGTAAATCTCAATCTCAACCAGAGATCAGGAGTTCAACAGTAAACACTGACACACAGATCGTGGAGTTCCTCAGCATGATGGATGGTAGCTAACTATCGGTCAAGTTGAGTGGTTGCCTGGTCAGACTTTCAGAGAGGAGAAGGGATAGTGATCGCCTTCACTGTAATACAGGAGGATTGTTTTCAGGATCACTGCTCCATGTCCAATTCTGTTCACCATCACTCACAACAACCAATACAATACCAGAGAGATTTGGGATTGGGGGTTGTAGTGATGGAGCTTGCTATTAGGGTGGATAGAGGCGAAAACAAATCTGAATCGTATGTGAGTTTAAAACTGCATCACAGAGTTGTGCAGTAAGGCATCCTTTGACCTGGGCCTCAGCATCATTGTGTCCTTCACTAACAATATCCTGGGAGCTACCATGAACCACAAACTGAACTGGACTCGCCCTATAAATACAGTGGCTACAAAAGCAGGTCCAAGGCTATGGATACTGCAGCAAGTAACTTACCTCCTGACTTCTCAAACCTGTCCAAAATCTCCAACATTCAAGTCCGGAGTGTAAAGGTTTCCCCTCTATGGCCCCCATCACCTGTGTTAGTGCAGCTCCAACAACACACAGCAAGCAAGATACTATCTCTGAAAAACTGCTCCTGTTTGATTGGCACCACATTCCAAACATCCACTCTCTCAAATATTAAATTAGGCAGCACCTACCGAACCCATGACCACTTCCATCTTGAAATACAAGGGCAGCAGGTACATGGGAACTGCACAATCTGCAAGATCTTCTCCAAGCCACTCGCCATCCTGACATGGAAATATATTGACCATTTGTTCTGTGTCAATCGGAGAAAATCCTGCAATTCCCTTCGTAATGGCAATGTGGATCTACCTACAGCTCAGAGACTGCAACAGTTCAAGAAAGCAGTTCACTACCACCTTCTCAAGGGTATTTCGGGAGGGCCAATCAATGCTCAGACCAGTCAGTGATGCCCACATCCGGCATTTTTTTTGTTTGAAAAGTCTGCATTATTCTTGCCCAGTAACAAAGACTGTCCAAATCCTCTTAAAACACCCAGTTGTGAAACGAAGCATAGACTGGGAGATCATTTCGCAGAACATCTACATTCTGCTCACAAAAAAGACCCCAAACTACCTGTTGCCTGCCACTTTAATGCGCGACCCTGTTCCCTGTCCAACATCTCTGTCTCTGGCTTGCTGCAGTGTTCCAGGGAAGCTCAACACTAGTTAGAATAACAACACATCATCTTCCACTTGGGGACCCTGCAGCCCTCTAGGCTCAATATCGAGCTCAATAATTTTTGGGCCTAAACTCTACCCCACACAAGGCCTTGTTACCACATATCCTGCCATAACCACCAACTACTGTTAATCACTAACAGTTCCCATTAAGTACTATTCAACCTCCCAGCCTGATCAATATCAACCATTTGTCTGTCCAAATGCTCTTCTCTCTCTTTAGGCTCTATCGTATCGTTTACTCCCGACCCCATCCCCCTCCCCTTTTTTTCTGCATATAACCTGATGTTTTTCCAGCCACCTTCAATTCTGAGGAAGGGTCCCCTGTTAACTTTGTTTTTCCTTCACAGATGCTGCCAGACATAGAATCCCTCCAGGCCATTTGGCCCAACAAGTCCACACCGCCCCTCTGAAGAGCACTCTACCCAGACCTATTCCCCTACCCTTGATTTCCCATGTCTAACACGCCTAAACTAAACATCCCCGGGCACTACGAGCAATTTAGCTCGCCAATCCACCTCGCCTGCACACGTTTGGACTGTGGGAGGAAACCCGAGCACTCAAGATTATGCTCTAACTTTTATTCGATATGAGAATCGTAAGGGAGGTTACATGAGTAGAACAAAACATTGGCATATCGTTCACAATAATGCGTCTAATCTGCAGCACACTTCATAGAATCATCATAGGATCCCTACAGTGTGGAAACAGACCCTTTGGCCCAAATAAAAGTCCACACCGACCCTCTGAACAGCATCCCAACCAGACCCATCCCCCCGCCCCCTCCCTGGAACCCTGCATTTCCCATGGCTAACGCACAATCCAGAGGAGCGCATGCGTGAGGCCCTCCCCCAGCGCTCCCATTGAGGAGCATTTACTCAGTGAGTGGAAGAGGTTATTTTGAAACAGACCGCAATGGAGAGACCAGCGCCCAGGGAAGCGAGGGAACAGCAGGCTCCTTCCAGCAGGACATGGAGATGTGAACCTGGGACACAGAGGATGCTCCGAGACCGGTATTGATTCGGGCTCAGTTCAGGGAGAATCGGGGGCTGTTTGTTAGAGGCCGAGCGGAGCAGGAGCTGGTCCCGGAACTTGGAGTGAGCGGCCTGGGCGGGGGGAGAGGGAGAGACCTTTCTCGGGCTGTGTGTGGGCCTGCTGAGGGAGACACAGCGGCAAGAAGCTGTTGGGGGGTCATTCTTGTGGTTTTCAAATCTCTAAACACTGATGCAAATTCACTGCTTGGCTTCTGTTTCACACTGTTTTTGGACATTGTGCCGTGAGCAGTGGAAACACAGACGAGAAGAATGTTATAACCCTGAAAAGGACAGTTAATTGAGTCACCAGATTAAATTTATCAACTGAAACATTTAAAATAGCCCCCTTTGTTCTTCCATTTAACAGTTAGTGTGTTGGGAGCCGGATATTGAACTGTGTATGCAGGCCTGTTGTTTCGGTTAGCCACATGTGTGGAACTGTGCAGTTGTTGCTCAGTTTCTGGATCTCACTCGGTTGGTATCGAATTATTTCAGAAGCAAAATAGTTAGAATCCCCAGACAAGGAGCACCTCTGGGCAACAGGGAATAAGACCTCTGGTTCTGTTCAAATTGCTAGTTTAAAAAAAAACACATCCTAATAATTATGAACTTAATGTTATGTTGATTAGATCAATATTGCCAAACTTTCTGTATGTTGATTTACAGGAGGTGTGTCTTCTGTCTTCCTTCAGGCAAATATTGAAGGACCAGGATGTTGTTATATTTCCTTGGTACAAAGCCAAGTGTGACTCGCTGCTTCTAACAATCAGCAGGTATGTAGCCCATTGACATTGACACTGGTTTTGAAGATGGATAGACTGAATGGTCATCCGAAATAGACACTCAGGAACAGCATTAAATCTTCATTGAATAAGGGCATTTTCAAAGTTACAATCAAGACAAACAAACAGATCATGTTGTATCAAGGATAGTAGGAACTGCAGATGCCCGAAACGTCAGCCTCTCTGCTCCTATGATGCTGCTTGGCCTGCTGTGTTCATCCAGCCCTGCACCTTGTTGTCTCATGTTGTATCAATGTGGATTTCACAAGCTTCAAAATCTCCCCTCCCCCTACCGCATCCCAAAACCAGCCCAGCTTGTCCCCGCCTCCCTAACCTGTCCTTCCTCCCACCTATCCCCTCCTCCACCTCAAGCCACACCCCCATCTCCTACCTACTAACCTCATCCCGCCCCCTTGACCTGTCCGTCCTCCCTGGACTGACCTATCCCCTCCCTGCCTCCCCACCTGCACTCACCTTTACTGGCTCCATCCCCGCATCTTTGACCTGTCTGTCTCCTCTCCACCTATCTTCTCCTCTATCCATCTTCTATCCGGCTCGCCCTCACTCCCTATTTATTTCAGAACCCCTTTTCCCTCCTCCATTTCTGAAGAAGGGTCTTGGCCCAAAACGTCAGCTTCCCTGCTCCTATGATGCTGCTTGGCCTGTTGTGTTCATCCAGCTCTACACCTTGTTATCTCAGATCATGCTGTAAGATAGTTTCAACAGCCATACCTCAGCGAGATGTTAAGTACAGAAATGGGAAGAAACTGCTCACCGAGAGGACAAAAGTGGATGAAACATGTTTATGTGAAGTTTATCAGTAACTGAGAAGGACATAATTAATCCTTTGATGAATAATTCTCCCTCTCTCACTCATACTCTCACACTCACTGACCGAAGGTGCATGTTACAACGTGGAACAACCAAATTGTTCTGTATACACTGCAAATCATAGAAAATGATACATTCAAAATGTTCTCCACTAACAACCTCAAGTTATCGAGGTCTACAGCACAGAAAAAGGCCCTTCAGCCCATTGGGTCTGTACCAATCAAAAAAACAGCTAACAACATTAATCCCAACCAGCCAGCGTTCTATTTCCATGAATGTATCAAAACTGCAGAGGAACTGTTATCCTCATCCTTGTCATAAAATTATTCTCCGTGTAAAAACCAAAAGAACTGCAGATGCTGTAAATCAGGAACAAAAACAATGTGCTGGGAAAGATCAGCAGGTCTGGCAGCATCTGTGAAGGAGAAAACAGAGTTAACGTTTCGGGTCCAGTGACCCTTCCTCAGAACCGGACCCGAAACGTTAACTCTGTTTTCTCCTTCACAGATGCTGCCAGATCTGCCGAGCTTTTCCAGCACTTTGTTTTTGTTCATTATTCTCCATTTCTTCACATTACAGGAGTTAACATTTCTTTCTTTGTTTTTGCTTCAGTCCAGCAAGAAACATTGTGTATCTCTTTCAAAATTTTTTTCAAATTTCTACAAAGGGCTTGATGTTCCTCTCGACCTTCCCAAGAGCACAATCATGTTAGTTTCCAAGTTTTCCTCTGTTGGATGCCAGTGAACAAAATTTGGAATACACATTCAGACCAGAGACTGACCAATCTAGAATATAGATATGATCAGAGACTGACAAAGGGAGAAGTGCATCAATCTTCACTTACAGGTCCTGACACCGATGGCATTAGATAAAGACTCATTCATGTCGAGCAGCAGAGATTAGAAAATTCAAACAAACTCCAGCAACTTCTAAAAGTGACATGTTCATTTTAAAATGATACACCTGCGCTGTGAAATACAATGACAAATAATGAGGAGCAGATTGACATTTCATGCCAGGGACTGAATAAATTCCATGTTCATTATCAGCCCGGTACTGATGAAAACTCACTTGACCCGTGCTCATGCTCTGGTCGAGAGACTGACTCTTGCAGAAGCACAACCACACTTTCTCAATGTATGAAAAACTGATTTACAAGTACATTAATCACACCTCATGAAGAGTATCAGATCATGACATGCAGAGCTAGAAACACAAGGAGCCATACAGAAACAGTCAGTGTGACATGGATCAGTACCAGTCTTTAAAGTTTTACAGACCAGAAGCATGCAAGAAAACTCGCTCACAGTCAGTCATTGAATGATGAAAGGAAAATAATGAAATTTAGCTTTACACAGATTTTCAGAAATGGACAAATGTAAATTGACTCTCAAACTCACTGATCACACAGAGAAGAGGTTAGTGTTAGATGTCTGTTTGTTACAGTGCTGAGCAGTGACTGACAAAGTCTACTGTGCACTCAAATTAAAAAAAAACTGAGACTGAATGCAATGAACTTAAGCCTCATGGTAAAGACAAATGTCAATGCAAAATTAATCCCTCAATCACACAGGGTCAGTGAATATCTACAGAGTTTATGCTACATTCAGACACAAAACCACAAATGAACATGGAAGGAGAATGAAATCCATATACTGTACCTGAGACTGTTGCAGACATCACAAAGGTGGCACTACAACTATTCAAAGGCAGATAACTGCAGATCTAGTGTCAAATTGGCACTACCAGATACACACTAGCAGTGAGCGGAAGAAGTTCACATTCTCAACAATTACTGGAAACTCGTATGCAGAATAGAATGTCCCAGTGCAAGCACAATGGGCTGAATGGCCCGCTTCCGCGCTGCATCTCATCTTGATTCTGATCCTGGTGATGAAGGAAATGACATTCTGTTGTATAGAGTATTAGTATAACAATATAATGTAGAAATAGACAGACAGGTGCAGAACAAAACTCTCTCTAATGAAAGAGCACTAAAAATGTCCAATACAAAATGAATCTAAATATCCCATTGATACTATGGAACCCTGAAAAAAAAAATCCAGTACTGACACAGAGAGCCAGCATCCGGTACATGCGGTGTATAAAACCCACACTCAGCACGCAAGCTAGAAAACGTGTCGTTGATTCAGAATGGTTCTCAGAGGAAAACAGTCCCACTTCTATGACCCCTCCTCGATCCTGCCAACTGACAGTCAACTCAGAAGTCACAAAATGCCGAAAAGATTAATACCCAGTCTCAACACCCTAATAGCTATTTCAGAATGTGTCGCATAGTCACAGGGAATGTTACTGGCTGCCAGAGAATCAAGGCAAATTGATACACAACAGTGGAAACTGACGGGTACAGATTGATACCCACACTCACTCATTCACATTCCAGAAACAGACAAAGTAAAACTGATAATGAAACTCACGTTCACATGGCGGGAATTGATGGTACAGATTTATCATGACACTCTCACATTCAAACAGCAGAAACTGACAGGCATGGACTGATATTTTTACTCGCCCATTCACACAGCAGAAACTGACTGGGAGAGAATGATAAATGCATTCACACATTCAAAACCCAGAAACTGACAGGTACAGGTCAATAACTCATAACTCTCAGATTCACAGAGCTGGAATTGACAGGGACAGATGGGGAAATGCGCACACACATTTATGTTGCAGATACTGACATGAAGAATATTATTATTACATACAAATTCACAGAGTTAAAAATTGACAGTTACACATTGATAAATGCATTCGCACATTCAAAGCCAGAAACTGACAGATGGAGGTTGATGGGTAAAATCACACATTCACAGGCCAGAATGACTGATAATAACAGTCTCGGTTTAAAATAGCATGAACTGACGGGGACAGATTGGTAACTTCACTCACCTATTCACAGAGCAGAAACTGACAGACACAGATCGATAACTACACTCATCCACTGTCATAGGTACAGATCAATGATGACATGCGCACGTATTCACATAGAAGAAACTGACAGGTATTCAGTGATAACTAAACTCATATATTGACATAAAAGAAACTATAAGGGACATACTCACCAAGCAGAAGTTGACCAGTACAGACTGATACCTACACAAACCTATTCACACAGCAGTCTAACAGAGATAGACCGATTGCTAAACTCACATATTGACAGAGCAGAAACTGACAGGCAGCGATCGACAATGAAACTCTCATTCTCCAAGCTGAAACTGACAGATACAGATTAATAACTACATCCTCACATTCACACAGAAAATCAGACTGTACAGAATGATAAATTCATTCACGCATTCACAAACCAGAAACTGACAAGTGCAGAATAATAACTACATTGACATATTCACACAGCAGAAACTGATGGGGGTTAACGGAGAGGATAATTATCAGATGCAAAGTGATACAGATGGTTTGGTGGAGTGGGCAGGAAAGTGGCAGAGAGAGTTCAGCTCTGATAGAAGTAATGCAGTTTGGGAAGGTCACACAGTAAATGAGAATAGATAATAAATGGGAATATACTGAGAGGGGTAGATGAAATGAGAGATCTTGGCATGCAAGTGCACAGGTCCCTAAAGGTAGTGGTACGTGTGTTTAGGGTTGTAAACAAGGCATGTTGAATGCTCCCCTTCATTGGCAATGGTATGGAATACAAAAGTAGGCATGTAATGATGAAACTGTGTAAGACAGTGGTGAGGCCACAACTGGAGTATTGTGTGCAGTTCTGGTCACCACATTACAGGAAGGATGTAATTGCTGTGGAAGTGGTGGAGAGGAGATTTACCAGAATGTTGCCAGGGCTGAAGAATTGCAGCTACGAGGAGAGATTGGAGAGTTTGGGGTTATATTCCTTGGAACAGAGGAGGCTGAGGGGTGCCATGATTAAGGAAAACTAAATTGTGAGAGGGAGAGATACAGTGTACAGGAGGAACATGTTTCCCTTGGCAGAGAGTTCAAAAACCAGAGGTCATCGATTGAAGCAAAGTGACTGAAGGATCAGAGGATATTTGAGGAAAAATGCTTTTTATGCAGAGGGTGCCGGGTATCTGGAATTCACTGCCTGATTTAGTAGTGGAATCAGAGGCTCTCAACTTGTTTAAAGATAAATTACCTGGATCTGCACCTTAAGTGCTGTAAGCTGCAGTGTTACAAGCAGTGTGCAGGAAGATAGAACGAGGAGGGGCATCTGGGGGTCTTTGGGTCAGCATCGACAAAATGGGCTGAATCATCCCCTCTATGCTGTAACATTTTTATGGTTCTATAGTTATCAACTCATCCCTATCAGTCTCTGCTGTGTGACGACATAAATGAATTTACCAGACACTGACAGGAACAGGTTGACTGGGCTGTGTACACCACCTGTAGTTACTTACAGTCCTGGACAGTATAGTTGCCATAGCAGGTCATTATGCACCCAGACAGTGACGCTTTCAGTGGTACATTTGTTAAAGTTGTTGACGGTCCTTAAGGACATGCCAAATTTCCTGAGCCGCCTGAAGAAGAAGAGGTACTGTTGTGCTTTTTTGACTGTTGCATCGACGTGGGAAGTCCAGGGCAGGTTGTTAGTTATTGTTTCTCTGACGAACTTGGTGCTCTCCACCCTCTCAACCTCAGTTCCATTGATGTAGATGGGGATATGTTCTTCTCCTTTCTTTCGGAAGTCAATGATCAGTTCTTTAGCTTTTCCGACATTGAGAGAATGATTGCCTTCATTGCACCAAGCCCTCTATCCCCCTTCTGGGTTTTGACTCCTGGTTGTTAGATATCCATCCTACTACACTGTTGTCATCAGTGAACTTGTTGATGGTGTTCATTTGGAATTTGGCACCAGGTTTGAGTGTACAGGGAGTAGGGTGCTGAGGACGTATCCTTGAGGGTGGGGGGTGGGAGGAGTGCACTGGTGTTGTGTAATTGTAGAGGAGATGCAGTTGTCTATCTTTACTGATTACGGTCTATGGGGCAGAAAGCTGAGGATCTGGTTGCAGTGGGCCTAGCCAAGACCAAGGTCACTGAGTTTTGAGATCAGTCTGTACAGGACAATGGTGTTGACGGCGGAGATGTAGTCAATGAGCTGGAGTCTAACGCTGGAGTCTTTGTCATCCAGATGTTCCAGGGATGAATGATCTCCTATACCCACTTCCATCCGGCAGAAGATACAGAAGCCTAAACACTCGCATGAGAAGGTTCAAGGACAGCTTCTTCCTTGCCGTGATTAGATTGATGAATGGACTCTTTAGCCTCAAATAATGACAATTTTGATAATGTTGATCTCTCCTCATGCACGGCCTGTCAATGTAACCTGCATGCCTCTGTCTTAAGACATTTTGATCTGTACATTCTGACTTAACATGATCTGACAGTACTGCTCGTAAACAAAGGTTTTCACTGTATTTCGCTGCATGTGACAATAAATCTATTAATTTAAAAAAAAATAACATAGTGTATTCTGACAGGTACATATTGATAACTATGCTCACACATTCAACAAGCAGGAATTGACAAGTATAGATCGATAACGAAACTCATATATCCACATACCCACTTGCATCCATGGAGTTGTACAGATGTTGTTTACTTTCTAGATCTCACTCAATTGGTACAGAATTTTAAGGAAAAACAGATAGGGAGCAGCTCAGGGCATGAGTGGAATCAGACCCCTGATTGTGTTCAAATTGCTGGCTTTAAAGAAACAATTCAAATGATTATTAACTGAATGTTACATTGATCAGTTTGATATTGCCAATATTGGCTGATGATGATTTACAGGGGGTAGCCCTTCTGTCTTCCTCCAGGAAAATACTTGAAGGACCTAGACAATGTAATATTTCCTCAGTACAAAGCCAAGTGTGACCAGTGGCTCCTAACAACCACCAGGTATGTTACACTGACAGAGCATAGAACGTATAGTGACAGCGGATTGAATCAAACACACATTGAACACAATTTCCAGAGAGGTACATTCAAGCGGAGGGTCAAATACCACCGATAAAATATCAGTTTATATCTATTTTCTACATTCTCAACACACGTCACCCAGTTCCAAACAATTTCACCATTCACATTCTCAAAAACTTATGAGGATGGAGAGACTGAATCCTCATCCAAAATATACACTCTAGAACTGCATTACACCTGCATTTAGGAAGGGTACTTTTATAGTTACATTCAGTGTGAAGAAATCAATGATGCTGTCAGTTTGAACAACTACATGGGATCTAGATATTGAGTGCAGATATTGAAACAAACATTCAATTAGCAGTGACAGAGAAGGACAGAAGTAACATTTTGCTAAGTATTTGTCACATACAACAATTAAATAATGTGAATTCCAAATGCACATTCTGTCCCAAAACCTGACACAAAGAATCATTAATGTACCTGCACACACTTGCTCTCTCTGTCGAATACACACAGAATCCCAACACATATTCCAACATATAACAACCATGCAGTTCCACAGACATTGCAAGTAACAAAATATGTTACATTTGGAATGATTTTTACTCACAGATCCATTGTCAGAGAAGTCTACAGCACAGAATAAGGCCCTTCAAATTATTGAGTCTAAATGGATCAAAAACAAACACAATTCTCATCCTATTCAGCCAGCACTCTATTTGCATAAAGGTGTCCTAGCTGCAGAGGAGCTGCCATCCCCACCTTTATCATAACATCTTTCTCCGTTTCTTCACCTAATTGTGTACTTCTTTCAAAACTGGTCTCAATTTTCTACAAAGAGCTTGGCATTGCTCCTGGCCCTCCCTGGGATGTACTGCAGAAAAAAAGCAAGAAATCTGATTACAATTTGCACAATGAATCAACGTAATCAAATAGTCACCCTTCAAAGCAGTGGAGAAAGAAAAATAATAGATAAAATTGGTAGATTTGTGAAACTGCTCATTTTGTTCCAATGCAGAGGTGAACAGTGTTGATTGTTCAATAATTGAGTTTGACAGTTTAAATATTCTGCACTGCATGACAGAAAATAAAATTCCTTTTCCTTTCCACTTTGCTACCATAGAACAACACAAGAGTACCACTAATTGCTTGCACCATCACAGCACAGAGCAGGGTAATGTCCTGTCTACATCTGAAAATAAATTAGCCAATTGTCTTTTCTGTGCAAGCAACACTGTGGTCAGTCAGCTGCAATGCAGTTGAATTGTTTATTGCCCTTTCACTGAGTTGCAAATGGATTCGGTTTACATTGATTGCTACTTCAGCAGTTTTCAGAAAGGCATATCATTACACACTGACAAAGAAACTGATGGTATTCTGAAGACCAACACTTTATATCATTACTCCCTGTTAGACTCTGCACTATATGTGTTACAAAGGCCTATTGTGTTTCCTGTCTCCGCTCTGTGGAACAGCACAGAATCCTTTCTGTAGCAGTGTGTTGCCTTTCACTTGCACGTAATTCCCACAGACACCAACAATTGAAGAACTTCGCTGGTTCCTTTAACTACAGGAGACGTGAACTGAGATACAGACTGGCAGCACAAGGGAAAACTCACTCGCACACAGCCAGTGGATGCTGAAAGGAAAAGAATGAAATTTGGCCTCACAGTAATTTCCAGATATGAATTGACTCTCAAAATCACTGATCACAGCTGAGGATGTTAGATAATTATCGTGCCCAGTAGTGACAGATAAATTCTACTACACACTCAACCTCATGCACAAAGTAAAAACAAACTGAGACTGAAATGCAATGTAATTAAGTGTCATTGAAAAGAGTTTATTTACAGAGTTTACTATTCAGACACAAACACAACTGAACATAGGAGAATGAGATCCATATATTCTACCTGAGAGTGTGGGAAACATATCAAAACTGCCACTATCATTACTAAAAGTCAAGTGCCTACAGAACTAATGTCAAATTGTCCTTTCCATCTCAACACTGACAATGAGTGGACAAAGTTCAAGTTCCCCACAATTACTGCAGAACTGATGCATAATAGAATGTCCCAGTACAGAGACAATGGGCTGAATAGTCTGCTTCTGTGCTGTACCATATAATCTGTGATTCTGATTTTGGTGAGAAAGGAATAGTTTTATTAGTGATGTCACAGATCTCAGACTCTCTAACCAAATAAGAAATGTGTGATCATGAGTCAGAATGGTTCTCAGAATAAAGCAGTTACCCTCCTGTTATCACCCCATGTCCTCAGCTTCTCCACCCCCTCACCTACCACATGGACCGACACTCAACTCATAAATCACACAATTCAGAAGAGATGAAGACCCAGCCTCAACATCCTAACAATAACTATCACAGAGTGGATCATACAGTCGCAGAGAATATTACTGGCTTTCAGAGAACTAAGCCACTTTGATACAGAAGGAGAAACTGACATGTACAGATTGATAACTACACCCATTTGTTCATATATGCAGAAACACACAAACAAATGATGACGACACATTTATAACTATCAGGGAGAGATTAAAATCTACACCCTCACTCGCAAAGCTAAAACTGACAGACATAATGATAACTACACTTCCAGTTTCACAGCATAAACTGACAAGTACAGTCTGATAACTAGACTGTCCTGTTTACAGAGCAGAATCTCTCAGATACATATTGGTAACAGCACTCACATTCACCAAGCAGGAACTGACAGGTATATTTCAATAAGAACATTTACAAATTGCAAGGCAGAAACAGAGAGGCATACATTGGTAACTGTACTCATGTTCACGCAGCAGAAACTGACAGATACAGATTAATATTGTCACTGTCAATTCACAGTGCAGAAACTAACAGGAACAGACTGGTAAATATACTCATCCATTTACATTGGTGAAACTGACAGGTATATATTGATGACTGTATTGATTATGTAAATAATTTGGAGTTGGGTGTTAAGGATAAAATCTCTGAATGTGCAGATGATACTAAGCCAGGGAGAAGAGTGAATTGTGATGATGATACTGAGTGACTTCACAGGGACATTGACAAGTTGGCCAAATGGGCAGAAACCTGGCAGATAAATTTCAATGCAGAAAAATATGAGCTCATGCATTTTGCGAACAAAAACACAGAGAAACAATACAAGCTCAATGGTACAGCTTTGAGGGGAGTATTGGAACAGAGAGATCTTGGGGTTCATGTGCATTATTCTCTGAAGGTGGCCAGGCAAGTTGAAACAGTTGTGAAGCAGGTTCAAGGATCTTTGGGTTTAAAAATAGATGCATTGAGTATAAAAGCAAGGAAGTAATGCTACACCTCTACAAATCATTGCTAAGACCACATTGCTCAGACTACATTTGTGTTCAGTTCTGGGCACCTTATTTAAGGAAGAACCCTCTGGCGAGGGTTTAAAGGAGATTACTAGAATGATAGCAGGAATGAAGGATTTTACGTGCAAGGAAAGCTTAATGAAATCAGGCTTATTCTCCTTGGAGCAGAGAAGATTAAAAGGAGACCTTAGGGAGGTGAGATAGTAGGGTGAAGGGTCTAGGCCCAAAACGTCAGCCTTTCTGCACCTGTGATGCTGCTTGGCCTGCTGTGTTCATCCAGCTCTGCACCTTATGGAGGTGTTCAAAATTATGAAGAATTTTGAGAGGGTAAAGTAGAATGCTCTGTTTCCACTATGTCGGTAACCAGGGGTCACAATTTCAAGATTGTCACCAAGAGAGGTAGGAATGAGACGAGGAGAAACATCTTTATTCAGAGTGTTGTCAGGATTTGGAATGCGCTGCCTGAGAGAGTGGTGGAGGTGGATTCCATATGAGGTATGAAAAGAGAGCTGGATATATATTTGAAAATTATGAAGTTAGAGGGGAATGTCGATATGGCTGGAGAACAATCCCGCCTTGAATTATTTCCAGCTCATCACAATTAAAAAATAAATGCAGAGTAGATTCAATTCAATGGCTCATCTGCCCTGACCCACTGACCAGGAGATCAAATGGATACTCAAGTTAGGAATGGACAGCACAAAACCTCAAATCCCTGCCATCAAGGATCAGATCATGCTACAGCAGGAGAAATTGTCCACTCAGAGTTATGTGAGAGACAATTATTCAGATGGTTTCTCAAGGCAATTTCATCTTTGGAATTGATATCTGGCTTAGCGATTGGAAACAAAGCTTAGCGATTTGTCAGCTGCAGAAACTTGACACTCCTCTGTCCTCTCTTCCTTCCCCCCCTTATTTGCTGGAAGGAACAATTACTATCAATCAATTTGTGAAGCTTTGAAGGGATTCTTCTGTGCTGTCTCACAATGTCCGCGGAAAGTTGGTGTAAACGTTCCCCTCTTTGTATTGACCTGGTTCCTCATCCCCTCGCATATCTGTGTGCCTCAGGGTGGCGTATGTGATGCAGGATGGTTGCTGGTCTGCTTGGTCAGCCTGAAAATAGGACAATACAGAAACGTAGTAAATGAGGAGCAGGAGCAAAATTGGTGGCTTCATGGACAGTGAAGATGGTTATCTCAGAGTACAACGGGAACTTGATCAACTGGGCCAATGGGCCGAGGACTGGCAGGTGGAGTTTAATTTAGACAAATATGGAGGTGTTGCATTTTTGGTGAGGCAAACCAGGGCAGGTTCATGGTAGGGCCCTGGGGAGCGTTGTCAAACAGAGGGATCGGGGGGTGCAGGCACATAGTTCCATAAAGTGGAGCCACAGGCGGACAGCAAGTTTGGCACACTTGCCTTCATCAGTTATAACACTGAGTATAGAATGTTATGATGTGGCTGTACAAGACATTTCGCCCCTAAGAACTCTTCTGCAACTACTTGAACAACATTCACTGCTCTGTCCCCGACCACTTTCTGTGGCAGAGAATCCCACAGGCTCCCCACCCTCTGGGTGAAGACATTTCTCCCCATCTCAGTCCTTCCCCGTCTCCTTTAAACTGTGACCCCCGAGTGTGAACTCACGTGCCCTCAGCCCCTACTCCAGCCATCAGCAACATCTGTGCTTACCCCTGTTAAGTCCCGTTGAAATTTCACAGGTTTCTGTGAGATCACCCCTCATTCTTCTAAACTCCAGTGAATATAATCCTAACCGATCCAGTCTCTCTTTATCCATCAGTCCTGCCATCCCAGGATTCAGTCTGGGAAACCTTGGCTGCACTCCCTCCATAGCCAGGACATCCTTCCTCGGAGAAGGAGACACCAAACTGCACACACAATACTGCAGAATGTGGTCTGTCCCTGTACAATTGCAGCAAGAGAGCCCTGCTCCTGGACTGGAACCCTCTCACTGTGAAGGCCAACATCCCATTTCCCTTCTTCACCGTCTGCTGCTCCTGTAATGCTCACTTTCAGTGACTGGTGTATGAGCTACACCCACGTCTTGGAGCTCCCCCCAACATCCCAATCCGGCGGATAAAAACCCGATTTCCTGGTTTTGCACCCAAAGCAGATAACGTCACGCTGATCCACATTAAACTGGGTGAAGCATTTCAGTGTTGAGTATACAAGCTGGATATTCAGAGGGGGTGGGTGGTGAACGTGAGGATATGGAGGGGGTGGATCGTGAGAATAACAAACTTTATCTGGAAGACAGTGAGGGTGTACAGGATGAGCTGTGAATATCTGGGGTAGTTACACAGACCAATTCCTCTTAGAAAAGCACACAATTGGAACAAGCCTAAAACTGATGATGACGAATGTTATTTCTCTGCACTCTGAACAGGATGTAGCCAGCTCTGCCAAGGTGGCAAGTGGATGCCATTCTCAAAATGTCCTTGAACGGATCGACATGCTCGGCCTGAAGGCAATGAGGAGTTCGCAAAGGGTTAGGAGTCACGTGCAAAGCAGACTAGGTAAGAACGACAGATTTCGCTCCCTTAAGGACCATCAGAAACAGGAACGGGAGTAGGCCATTCGGCGCCTCGAGCCTGCTCCACCATTCAATAGGACTGTGGCTGATCCAACATTCCTCATGTCCACTTTCCTGCCCTTTCCTTTGATTCCCCGACTGATCAAGAATCCCAAAGCCTTAAATCTGCATTCCCCCTGCTGCCCCACATACACACAGCTCTCTGTAGCAAGGAGTTCCAAAGACTCTTAGCTCCCTTAAAGAAGAAATACCTTCTCATATCAGTCTTCACTCGTGAACCAGATGGTTCTTTGTTTCTTACAATGGTCATCATTAGAGTCTTAACTCCAGATCTGTTTTGTTTAAAGTTGAATTCAAAATCCAGCACCTGCCACAGCAAGATTCAAATTCAAGTCCTCAGAGAATATCCCGGCCATCTGACAAAATAGGACATTGCCTCCCCATTATTTCAGAAATTGAAAGTGAATCTCATCAAAATGCAGTGTTCAGATCAGAATAAATTGCCCCACACCATTGAGACAGACATCGACAGTAGTGGAATCCCTACAGTGTGGAAGTAGGCCATTCGGCCCATTGAGTCCACACCAACCCTCTGAAGAGCATCCCACACAGACACACTCCTCTACCCTATTTCTGTAACCGTGCATTTCCCATGGTTAACCTCCCTAATCTACCCACCCCTGGACACGATGGGCAATTTAGCATGACCAATCCACCAACCTGCACACCTTTAGACTGTGGGAGAAGACTGGAGCACCCGGCAGAAACTGCACAGATAATATGAGGCAGCTGTGCCAACCACTGAGCCACCGTGCTGTCCAATGTCTTTGCCAGAAAGGGCCTGGTTAGCTCAGTTGACTGTCTGGTCATGCTGAAAGCATGTGGGTTAGTTTCTGCACTGGTTGAGATTGCTGTGAACGATCATTCCCTGTGCCTTAGATGTGGTGACCCTCCGGTTAAACAGTAAAACAGTTGTGGCTGTTGTTTCTCTCTCTCTCTCTCTCTCTCTCTGCAATGAGACAACGGTCACTCTACATTAACCAGCTGCTAAAAACGTAACTTTGCTGATTAAAAATTAACTGCCAGCTTTTTCACTGCAAAATAACTTACGTGTTTCCCTCCTGATCCAACATCACAGTGAGCTGTAAATCAAAGAAAAGACACTGTAACGACAGAATGTATCTAAATGCACGGGGAGAGGGAGCAGAGACAGATTTACCAGGATGTTGCCTTAGACGCTGGAGAGTGTCAGTGATGGAGAGACATTGGACAGACTGGGGTTGTTTTCCTTAGAGCAGAGGAGATTGAGAGGCTGGACATGATTGAGATGTATCAAATGATGAGGGACCATAGATTGGGTAAGCAGGAAGAAACTTTTCCTCCTTGATGGAGGGACCAATGAGGAAAAACGTTTTCACCCAGAGGCTGGTGGAGAACCTAGAACTCGCTACCTGTAAAGATGGGAGAGGCAGAAACCCTCATCACATTGAAGAAGGATTTCAATGTGCACTTGGGATGCCAAGGCAAGGGCTAAGTGCTGGGGAAATGAAATTAGAGAATAGTGAGGTGGTTGTTTTTGACTGGCACAGACTCGATGGGCCTTTTTTTTTGCGCTGGAGACCTCTCCGACACTGTGACTAGCTCACTTTGAGATGTGTGTTCTACATCCAAGATACTATTTAGATGTAAGGTGATTTTGTCCATTTCATTTTCTGAGGCAAGGGGTTTGTCTTATGAAAAGAGATTGAGCAATTTCGGACAATAATCGCTGGAGTTAAGAAGAATGAGAGGAGATCTAACTGAGGGATATAAGACGGAAAGGAGAAAGAAAGAGAATGTTTGCTCATGTGGGACAATCTAGAACAAGAGGTCACCATTTCAGGAGAAGGGTTTGAGACAGATTGAAAACAGAGATAAGGAGGAATGGCTTCTCTACAAGGGAGAGAGGGATGTGAATCTGGGAGATTTGCTGTGCTGTGGGTACACACACTTTTGCTCCCAAGTGTGTTGGGGATGTTGGGACACTGAATAAATTAGAGGAGGAGACAGACAGATTTGTCATCAATGATGGGTGAATGGGAGTGGGGACAGGAAACTGGAGTTGAGGCCAAGATGGGATCAGACGTGCTGCATCGAATAGGGCGGCAGGCACCCAAGAGGCTGAATGGTCTCCTCCTGCTCCTAGCCCTTAAGTTGTATTGGTCATTCAGTTGCCTGAGTGCATTTTAGAGTGGATGGTACATACAATAGGGACAGAAAGCTCTTATTCTGAGGTGCTAAAGTGCGTATTCCGTTGCAGGTCACTCAGTAAGAATGAATCTAAGACCCATGTGATAGCGGAGCAGAATTAGGCTGTTTGGCCCATCGAGTCTGCTCTGCCATTTGATTGTGGCTGATATGTTTCTCAACCCCATTCTCCTGCCTTCTCCCCCTAGCCCTTGATCTCTTTACCAATCAAGAACCAATCACTGTCTCAAAGACAATCAATGACTTAGCCCCTACAACCCTCTGCAGCAATGAGTTCCACAGATTCACCAGCCTCTGGCTGAAGAAATTCCTGCTCATCTCATTTTGAAAGGGTCATCCCTTCACGCTGAGGCTGTGCCCTCATGTCCTAGTCTCTATCCAGGCCTCTCAGTATTCTGTAAGTTTCAATTGGATTCCCCCTCATCCTTCTAAACTCCATTCAGTGCAGACACAGAGTCCTCACCACTCCTCATTAGACAAGCCCTTCATCCCTGGGATCCTGTAAATCTCCTCTGGACCCCACTCCAAGGCCAACACATCCTTCCTGAGATACGGGGCCCAAAGCTGTTCACAATATTCCAAATACGGTCTGACCAGAGCCTTATACAGCCTCAGCAGTACATCTCTGCTCTTGTATTCTAGCCGTCTTGAAATGAATACTAATGTTACATTAACTGCCAAATGAACTTGCATGTTAACCATAAGAGAATCCTAAAGTAGGACTCCCAAGTCCCTTTGTGCTTTAGATTTTCGAAGACTTCCCCATTTGGAAAACAGTCTTTGCCTCTATTCCCACCAAAGTGCATAGCCTCACACTTCTCCCCCATTGTATTCCATTTGCCATTTCTTTGTTCACTCTCCGAGACTGTCCAATTCCTTCTGCAGCTTCCCTGCTTCCTCAACATTACCTGTCTTTCCACCGAACTTTCTGTCATCAAAGAAACAGGAAATGACAATGCTCCCCCTGTGAACAATGCTGGACCCAGAGCGAATGGCTCCTTGCCCCAGAGACCAAGACCAGAAGGGGCCACTCTCAGACATTAAGTTGTTGTAATGGGGTAATAAAAAGATTGATATCCCAGTGCCCAAACTTTAGGTGTCCCCTCAAAACAAGATGAACAATATAGCAGTTCGCTATCAGTGTACGTTTCCCTCTTACAATTCACGTCACCCTGTTGTCAACTGAATCGACATTAATGGAACGTGACAATGATGCAGGTGAATTACAAACACTATTATGACTTGTAAATTCAAATGATGTAAAAAGATTCAAATAGCTTGGGCGGGTCTTCACAAGCGAAAACCAGTGACGAATAAAAGTGGTTGGGTTTTTTGAGGATTGAAATGAACCAGAGAAAATCCCCACTTTCACTGAGCCAGAAATGACATAAAAATATATAAATTGTATCCTTTACCAGTGTTTCTTGGCTTTGAGATAGTGATGACCGAGTACACTACACATTTTGGAGTCATCTGTAACCAAGAAACAATAAGCAAAGGGAATTGTTTCAGAGATAGTAGGAACTGCAGATGCTGGAGAATCTGAGATAACAAGGTGTAGAGCTGGATGAACACAGCAGGCCAAGCAGCATCAGAAGGGCAGGAAGGCTGATGTTTCGGGCCTAGACCCTTCTTCAGAAAAAAAAGCAAAGGGAATTGAAGGTTTACAGAACAGAGTGTTAAAACGACAGCAAAGGCCACCTCCAGATTAAATACGGAGTGATAATGAGGGTTAGAGAGCCAACCCGGCAGGAATATAAACCGAAGCTGTTGGCAATGTACAGACATTGCTCACAGCAGGTCACAGAGCAGGTGACTCAACAACATTGAGTCTGGGAAATTGACAGTGGAAATAACGAGAAGTCCAATGAATTGAATGGGTATTCTGCATCAACATTCGGTACAAAATGTGCAATTACCCTCCCAGAACAAGCTAACAATAGGGAAATGGAAGGTGGAGGCCTGGGGAAGTTTTTTTCTTTAAATTCAATCATCGGGCATGGGCGTCAGCCGCAATTATCGGCCACCCCGTCCACAGTTGCCCCTTTGAAAAGGTGGTGGTGATCTGCCTTCTTGAACCGTTACAGCCCACTTGCTATTGGTAGACCCACAATGTGCTTTGGGAGGGAATTCCTGAATTTTGACCCAGTGACACTGTAGGAATGGCTGATATATTTCCACAACGGGATTGTGGGTGGCTCAGAGGGGAACTTGCAGGGTGTGGTGTTCCCATGTATCTACTGCCCTTGTCCTTCTAGATGGAAGTGTTTGTGGGTCTGGAAGGTGCTGTCTGGAGGATCTTTGGGGAATTTCTGCGGTGCACCTTGTAGGTGGTACACACTGCTGCTACTGAGCGTCATGGTGGAGGGCGTGGTTGCTTGTGGATGTGATGCCAATAAATAGGGACTGTGTTGTCCCTGGATGGTGTCAAGCTTCTCAAGTATTGTTGGAGCTGCATCCATCCAGGCAAGTAGGGAGTATTCCCTCACACTCCTGACTTGTGATTGAGATACTTGGAATAAGGGCAGCTTCTGACCATATAACGTCCAAAACAAAGAAATCACAAAATATCAATATCAATATTGTTTTGTCTTCCTTAGATGGATACCAGCGTCCCCCCTACAATTTACAAGTTGAGCCATACCCATCTCGAGCAACCTCCCTCAGACAAACGGAAAGCCGTTGTTTTTCTGCTGTTTAATAATATTTCTCAAAGTACGCTCCGTTGTTCTAGAATCTCGAGGTTTGTAAACAAAATTAATGTTTACCGTCGTGTGTCCCTGTGTTCTTTACTGAACAGTACACAGCTCCAGCACAGCTCGACACGAAAGGGTCAAAAGAAAAGACAGAGCGTTGTCATCAACAGTAAACAGTCAGTCACCAAGTGGCAAATAATATCTGCCCCTGCTGAGTTTCTCCAACATTTTCTGTGTTTCTTTTTATTTCTGACATTCATTGACTGAAGAAAGCTAATGAATTGCTGGTCTTTTTCTCTAGAGGACTGGAGTACAGGGACACAGCAATTATGCTGCACTCATGCAAAACCCTGGTTAGACCCCACTTGGAGCAGATCTGGGCATCACACTTCAGGAAGGATAGATTGACCTTGGAGGGAGTACAATGTAGGTTTATAAGAATGATACCTGGACTTCAGGGGTTAAGTCATGCAGAGAGATTAGACAAACGAGGCCTGTTTTCTGTAACAGTTAGAAGGTTAAAGGGTGATCTGATCGAAGATATTAACAGGAAAAGACAGGGTGGATAAATAGAAACTATTTCCACTGGCTGGGGTTTCTAGAACTAGGGAAGGTGTAGTCTGAGAATTAGGGCCAGACTGTTCAGGAGTGATGTTAGGAGGCACTTCCACACACAAAGGGTGGGAGAGGTTTGGAACTGTCTTCCACAAACAACAGTGGGTGCTTGATCAGTTGTTAATTTTCAATCTGTGAGAGAGAATTCTTCTGTTGAGCTATTGTATTTAGGGGATAAAGGCCAAAGGCAGGTAATATGGCAGAACAGCCTCAAGGAAATGAGCGGCCTACTCCTGATTTGTTTTTTTTTGTCCAAACGTTCAATGTTGATAAATCAGGGAGACCCTGCAGTTACAGAGTAGCATTTTCACGGACTGGCGCAATTAAAGATTTGAAATTTGTCCAAATGTTTTATTTTCATGCACTCCAGATCCTCACCACCCTCTTGGAGAAACAATCCTCAAATACCCTTCTACACCTCTTACCCTTCACCTTATAATGATGATCCCCCCTTCCCTTGTCAGTGACCCTTCAACTAAGGGGAACAGCTGCTTTAATCCCCCCCCCGTCCATGCCCTTCATAACAGAGTCACGGAAACAGATCTTCGATCCAACTAGTCCATGCTTACCATGATCCCAAACTA